CAGGGTAGAAGCGAATGTTGCTGACCACGGAACAACCACGCGAACTTGTTCCAACGATTCCCATAGTTCCATATCAGACACCAGGAAAGTCGTAGGTTTCACCAGAGCATGTCCCAATGCTCCTTGATCAAAATGTGCAGCGTGCATTCCATAACGCTCACAAAAACTTTTCACCTCTGGCCAACTCCAGAAGGTAGGACTTGAGAGCCCTTCCTGAGAACCATCCACCAGATCCTCAGCACTCAACTCGGGCCGGCGTACTGGGCACTGGCTGCTCGCCATTGGTCAATGTTACGGTGGCAGAAAGCTGAAAGGGAGTTGGGGTTAAATCCTAAAGCATTGCTTCCCTTTGGTGCTCAGATTCAAGTCAAACGTCGTCCATGGGAGTTGCTGGGTCCGGATGGAACAAAGAAAGGTCGGCAATGGGTCGATCGTACGCAGCCTGCGCTTCTTTTGGGTCCATGCGATGACCTACCTGGTGGTTATTGGGTGGAAGCTCAAGGGACTGCAAAAGATCCGGATGAACTGGTGTTATTTCCCTGCACTACGATTTTTTCCAATATAAAGGAACCGCCTGAATTGGAGCTGGAAGGGGTGGTAGAAGAGCAGGAGCCTTCTCCTCCAGAGCATCGTCTCAAGGGGAAAAAACCGGCGCTTCGGTTCGCTGATGAGGAAGGTCCTCCTTTACCTCCGCCTCGCGATCCTCCAGTTCGTCATCGGTTAAATGGAAAAAGCCCGGCCTCTTCACTGCGTGGTCATGTGGGCTCCTTGCGCTTGCTTCGCAAGCGGGGGGAGAGTCCGCCCTTAGAAATTTTCGAGGATGACATGCAGGGTCTGGGGGAGCTGGAAGAAAATGCAGATGTTGAGGACAATGTTCCTGGTGATGAGTATTGGCCGACTTGCTGTTCTCCTCATGAAAATGCTTATTTGGTCTGCAAAAGTGAAACTGCTGGGGATGGAACACAGTTGGAAAAAGAAGAGCAAAAAGCCAAGTCAATGTATGAAAGGTCTATGTATGATTACGTGGACTGTGAGGAGCTTCTGGAAGGGATTGTATACCCAAAGAGGGTGAATCGAAGAGGTGGTATTAACAATTGGTGCACAAGTACGCGAGCTCTGGTGTTGGGCCACTATACTCATGGCGGAGTGTGTGGTATTACAAAAGAGACTTATAGAAGGCCATGGCTATGTCGTTATCTGGCATCATTCGTGAGACACCACAATCCTGAAGCCAAATTTTCTGCTCTTCAGATCTCGTGCAATGCTCCGGTGTCATTGCATAGGGATAGCCACAATGAAAAGCATTGCTGCAATTATGTGTGTGGCTTTGGTGACTATAAAGATGGTCAGCTGTGGGTTGAGGATGAAAAGGTTTTAGAGGAAGGAGCTGAAGTGGTGGAGCAATCCTATGGGAAGAAAGTCTTACCTGGAAAATTGGTCGATATCCACTGGAACTTCATGTCGTTCTTTCCGAGAAAACTGCATGGTCCTATGCCTTGGAAAGGGAACAGGGTATCCTTGACAGGGTACACACCTGTTTTTATGGAGCGTTTGAGCTACAAGGATAGGTGCTATCTTCTCCAATGCAAGTTTCCTCTTCCGGAACCACAAGCTGAAGAAGGTGAAAAAAGGAAATGGTTAAAAATGACGTGAAAGAAACCTCGCTGGACGACCTTGCAGAGGAAGTCGACTACGCTGTGTTCGAAGCGCATCAATGGGCTCTAGAGGAGCATTTGAGTATTCGACGCCTAATTGCTGAACAGGAATGTTGCATTTTGGACGAGTTCCATGGATCGGCCAATGAGTCGAATGAGGAAAAAGGATCAGAGACTAGAGAATGGCTGGTTAAAGCAAAAAGGGCTGAGGAACAGCTCTCGAAGTTTTTGGTCAAAGCAGCTCAAGTTCAGCAAATGGTACAAGAAAATACCGCGCTTGAGGCAGCAGAGGAGGTTGAGTTCCTGCAAACAAAAACAATCCCTACACAAGAAGCCATGCAAGAGCTGGAAAAGTGGAGGGAATCATTGTCGGACGAGGTGACGTCTTTGGTGAAAGAGTTGGAGGTGGTGGAACCAACAACTCAAGAAAAGCTGGACAAATTGGCGGAAGAGCCTAATGCACCGGTGATTGAGTACGTTCCCAGTCTGGTGGTGTTTACCCGGAAGCAAGGGACAGGGAGGCGACGTGCCCGTATCTGTGCATGTGGAAATTTTATTTCGTCAACGGCAGCTACAGAATATGAAGGGCCGAGGTCCCTCAGTCGTCACTCGCTGTACGCTCCAGGTTTAGACTCAACTACATTCAGGTGTCAAGTGAGGCACGCAGCATATATGGTGTGGATCATCGCTGGTTTAGACATTTCCAAAGCTTTTCTGACGGCGCCGATGAATAGGGCGCAAAGAGAAGGGCGTCTGGTGGTGGTGCAGCCCCCAAGGGCGGCGGTGAAATTGGGTCTTTGCACAAAGGAGGAGCGGTGGATTGTGAGAAAGGCCTTGTACGGTTTGGCCGAAAGTCCTGCAGCATGGGTGGAGTGGCGAGACCAACGTCTTCAAGGTATGTCTTGGGTGTCAAAGGATGGACAAGCAATGAGCTTTCAGAGGTCCAATGCAGACCCAAGTCTGTTCCTTATTATGGCACAAGAAAAGCCGGAAGGTGCAAGCAAGTTGGTAGGGACAATGGGTCTTTACGTGGATGATTTTTTGATGGCTGGGACTATGACAGTGCTCCGGGAAGCCTTGGAACAGATCAGGAAGGAGTGGAAAACTTCTGAACCCGAGTTCTGTGGTCCAGGCTGTGGTGATGGATTCCTGAAGTTTTTGGGTGTCCAAATCTGGTATCGAAATGGCAGCTTCTTTCTCAACCAGGAGGACTTCGTGAGAGATTTGCTGAACCGACGAGGGTATCAGATCGATGAAACTGGAAAAGGGAGTAACCTGCCAATGGTGAAAGAAACTCCAGGTGAAGAAGAGGAGGTAGATATTCCTTCCTTGCGAGCGGCTCAAGGTGCCGTAGGGGAGTTCCTCTGGGTGGCAATCAAAACTCGACCTGATTTGGCGTTCTGCGCGAGCCAGTTGTCTTTGTGGACATCCCGAAGGCCGCGATTTGTGGTTAAAAAGGCTGAGGAGGTTTTCCGATACCTTGCTGCAACTCCAACGTTAGGCCTGACGTTCGGAGCAATCGCAACATGCGAAAAAGAAAGAAATGAGGTGTTGCGTTATGGACGAGGCGTTCAGGTGGTGGAGTCCTACGCGGATGCCAGCTTTGCGGCAGGTGAAAATGAAAAGATGATTCAGTCGTGCACCCCTATAATTGCCGCTTTGGTTGGAACAGGTGAAGAATCACTGCAAAAAGTGCTGTATACAGATTCGGTTTCGACATGCTCAATCATTCAATATCCGGCTGGAAGCTGGAGGACAAGACACCTGAGAATTCGAGCAGCCGGTGTCAGGTCTCTGGTAGACCGTGGTTATATGGTGATCGCGCACCTTCGCGGTGAGTATATGATCGCTGACCTGTTGACCAAATTGATGAGTGGACAGGTGTATGCAAAGCAAAAGGCACTTTGGGGTCTCCGACTGTTGGTACAAGGGACTGACTTGAAGAGGGCCTCGCTTGCAATGGCGGTCATGATGGTGGCTGCATCTCTGCAAGGGATGGCAACTGGTGGTGAAGAAGTGTCAACTGCTGGTTTCTTTTGCTCAGAAGAAGGGGTGCGCAAGGTCGCCAACACATCTACGGTGATGGTTCTGGCTCAAGGTATTGAAATGGTTATCAACAATTCAGACCTTGTTGCGTATTTGGTGGCAGCAATTATACTCTGGGAGTTGGCATGGTGCCTCTTTCGGCAGCTGTATAAAAGGCTGTGGGTTAAGAAAGTGGTGGTTATTCCTGCGAGTGCCACTTTGTATACAACAGTGGGTGGGAACTGTATGCACGCAAGCAGTGACTGTGATGTTCTGCGATATTCACAGCCCAGGGCTAAGACGCTTTGTGAGCATTGCCTCAAGGACGGCTGGGTGGTGAATGCCGAGTTCCTTGGTGAGGAACGGGCCGCTGGAACGTGAATTTTTTCAAGTGCGAGGTGAAGAAATCCTCAACGGTAAAGGATTCGGCCAATGAGCTGAAGGTTCGTCCTGGAAGACGTAAAACCATAATGTGCATTTCAAGCAGCTGGCTGCTGCCTAAATGGCGGTTTTTGGCCAAAGATCTGCACCTCCAATGTGTCCTAGGAAATCCTAGGACAGGGGGAGTGCGGAGCTGCAGTTGGTATTGTAGAAAGGAGTTGGTATTGGAAGTTGAAGGGTCAATGCACCCGGTAATCCTTTGGCTCAAGCCATGACCAAAGCGGTCGAAGGTTTCGTAAAAAGTGTGCCCTTGGTTTGGGGTCTTGTTGTTTGGTTGTTGGTTGTTCCAGGGGAATTAAGGGCTTCTGTTGGGGTTGACTGTTTTGTTCCCTGTCCTCCTTCGGTTGCCCCCCGTATAGGGCGTTAGGGCTTTAGGGCTTAGGGTTTTAGGGCCCAGGGCTTCGGATACTCGCCTTTTTCAAGGGACTATACCTTGGACCCCTAAGGTGGTACTCTGGGGTTGGGAGGGGACCCTTTTTAAGGATCCTTAAGGTAGTATAAAAAAGACCCTAAACCCTAAACCGCAAACCCTAAACCCTAAACCCTAGACCCTAAACCCTAAACCCTAAACCCTAAACCCTAAACCCTAAACCCTAAACCCTAAACCCTAAACCTTCGGGGGGGGTACAACCTTCGGGCTTCGTGGTACGAGTCTGAATCCCTTGACGTTTTTAGGCAGTTCCTGTCGAGCTCCGGAGCTGGTTTGAAGCAGACACTCGGCACACTGCAGGGTTTAGGGTTTAGGGTTTTTAGGGTTTATAGGGTTTAGGGTTTGGGGTTTAGGGTTTAGGGTTTAGGGTTTAGGGACCTGGTAGGATTAAAGAGTTCCCTCACGCGCACGGGTTGAGGCTTTGCTGTTCCTGCCTTGTCAAATGCCAGGCCCAACACCGTGGCACTGACCAGCGCGGCCAGCGCTTGCGCCAAGGATCCGATCACTATAGGGACTATAGGGTTTAGGGTCTAGAATTCAGGGCTTGCAGGGTTTAGGAGGGTTTAGGGCTTAGGGCTTAGGGCTTATTGGCTTTCGGGTTCAGGGTTTCGGATTCAGGGCTGATAATCGGGTTTCGGGTTTAGGGTCTAGAATTTTAGGGCTTATAGGGCTTAGTTTTTTTTCCGGTAGCATTTTTTTATATTAATGTCTAGGTCACGGGTTTGTCATCGCTACTCCCCACAAGGATCCTCCAAAGGCCCGGTGAGCCTGAATATACTAGGTCCCCGCAGGAGAGTCGCCTTCAGACCACTAGACCAGCCAAGAGGTTTAGGGTTTAGGGTTTAGGGTTTAGGGTCTAGGGTTTAGGGTTTAGGGGTTTGCGCTCCACAACAGGCTCCCTTGCGGGACTGAGCCCGGGGTTTTGTGAAAGGTTGCAAGTCCCTTGGGAAGCACCCTACCTTTGAAACAGCCCGAATCCGAAAGCCCTCATAGGATGTGCCGACGTTGCAAAATGCCTTACCTTCGCCCTTGAAGAGAGGGCTTGCCCTTGGTGGGTTTAGGGTTGGTCGGGATTTGGGTTTAGGGTTTAGGCTTAGGTTTTAATTTCGCAGAGTAGGAGTTGTCTCCAGTTTGGGATACTTTGAGTGGGACAACCTGCGTCTTCATGGCCCCAGGAAGGCTTCTTGATTGTTCCCTCCACTAAATCAACCCGTTTGCCCTAGGTGACATAAGGGTTTAGTTTTTAGGGTTTAGGGTTTAAGGTTCCTTCAAGCCACCTTGCTGCTCCCAGAACCCTTCAACCCTAAACCCTACGTCTTAAACCCCAAACTGCCAGACAGGGCCAAGCCTGGCGTCACGCGCTCGCATTGCTGCTAACCGCGCAAAGGCAGGTACTTCAATGGACCCTGCGGGTTTAGGGTTTAGGGTCGCGGGTAAGCTAGATAGTTAATGACTCTCCATCGAAAGCCCTACAGTAACCCAAAAGATACCCTGTAGAAGTAGGGTTCCAGAACCCCTGAGTGACCCCAGGGTCGCTCTAAGTAGGTGTTGGGACCCCGCTGCGATTCGGGATTGAGGGGTTTCGTTGCTTATGTGCAGAGCTTGGCGGGGGGGGGGGGGGATTTGTTGTGATTTGCTGCAAGTCTGATGTTTACATTGAGGTAGGGCTCATGTTAGTACTTACTGTTGCTGGTGAGTGTATATATGGTTCACTTTCAATGTAAATACCAGTGGGTATATATATATATATATATATATATATTGGGTTCCTGAGGTGGTATCTAAAGACCCACATGTAGGCGCTTGTGGACTTGCAGAGTTTCATGCTTCGAAGGGTTTCTTCAGGCCGTGATCCGAAATGTTTCGAGTTGGCGCAATGGGTTGCCACACGTGGATACGATATATAGTGTTGATGTAGGACTGGGCCGAGGTCAGGCAGCCTTGCGCCGAAGGTCATGCCTCAAGCTATGGTACCTACAAACCCTCAACCCTCCCTCCCCAGCCCTCAAAACCCGATACCCCCAGCCCCCCACCACGTTTCAATCCCAAAGCCCAAACCCCGAACCCTGAAGCCCTCCAAACTCCACACCGAAACACTTCAATCCCCCGAACCCATCACCCCATCCCCTGCGCCCAAGAGATTAGGGATATTTCAAACAAATTAGAACCTAAACCCTAAACCCGAAGAGAGGTCTTACTTGACCGGAGGTGGCATCTCCGGCCGAGCCTGGCGGCCTTCAACACCGCCCTCAGCCGGGCGCCCTGGTCGACGGAAGTCCCATGGGAACTATTTGCTTAAGAACCCCTCTAAACCCTAACCCTAAACCCTAACCCCCCCCAAGAATAAGAAGTACTCTTCCTTATAAGGGTAATCTGGTTCTTAAGCAAAACGTAGCATGGGAACCTCAAAAAGTCGTACCCCCAGGAGGAAAGGATTGTCGATTGTACAGAGAGGGGTACACAGGAGCCAGGGTCCTGAATTTTCTACTGAGTACTTGCTCGATTCCTGAGGTTCCTGTGGGTTCCCACGGTACTAAACTTTAGCTGAAGAAGTTTTTGCTTACATTTCTGATGCAGATTGGTGCTAGTGCCTCCGCTGTTGCTATTACAACATTCCTTACTGTTTACTATTCCTCTTTTTGCTGTTGCATGTGACCTCTGGACATATCAGTACTAGTGCCTCTGTTCCCTTGTATATTTTTACTTTTACGATGGGTTTGCTTTTGCACATGACCTTCGTACTGATTACCCCTTTAACCCTCAGCCCGAAGCCTTATTGGTACAACAGCGCAATTTTTTTCGGTGTGCGCGGCATCAGGCGCGTGCGCGGGCAGCAAACACTGGCGGCGCCAGCCTTGGTTTGCGAAGCATCGAAGGGTTTAGGGTTTAGGGTTTAGGGTTAGGGTTTAGGGAAAACAAGCTGAACCTGCACGTCGAGGTGCTGGTTTGGGACACTTGTTTAGATGAGTTTAGGATTTTGCTGTTCCGGTTTTGGAATCTGAGTGCGCGCCTAGTACGCACGATGAGCTCAGAGGGTTTTGTTCGGGTTTTGGGTATTGGGTTGCAGGGTGTAGTACGTAGGATGAGTTCAGGGGGGTTACAGTAGTTAGAGTTTGTTGTTTTGGGCGCTGATGTGCAGCACGTAGGATGTGCTTAGAGAGTAAGGGCTTCGGGTTTTGGGTTTCAGCAGGTAGCGCGCAGGGTTCAAGGGGCTTTGGGGCATGGGGTTGTTTTTAACCCTAAGCCCTAAACCCGAAACCCTAAACCCTAAACCCTAAACCCTAAACCCTAAACCCCCTAACTTAGCAAGGCTTCCTCTTGGGTGGTACTTTTGGGAGCTCCCGGAGTCCCTCCGTCCGAACGCTAAACCCGAAGCCCTAAGCCCTGCTTAGGGTTTAGGGTTTAGGGTTTAGGGTTTAGGGTTTAGGGTTTAGGGTTTAGGGTTTAGGGTTTAGGGTTTAGGGTTTAGGGTTTAGGGTTGAACGCGAATCGTCCCTAACCCTAAGCCCGAACCCTACACTTTGTCATAGTTGGGTACCATTTTACATTTTTAAGGGTACTTAAACCCTGCAAGGAATGAGGATTTACATTTTTAATATTATCCCAACCATGAACTAGTACACCCTAGGGCGTAAGCCCTAAGCCCCAAAGCCTAAACCCTAAGCCCCAAAGCCCCATAGCCTAAACCCGCCGAAAAAACCTTAAACCCCAAATGCCAAACCCTAAACCCCAAACCCCTAAACCCAAACCCTAAACCCCAAACCCTAAACCCCAAACCCTGAACCCCAAACCCTAAACCCCAAACCCTAAACCCCAAACCCTAAACCCCAAACTCTATAAACCCGAAACCCTAAACCCCAAACCCCAAACCCCAAACCCTGAACCACAAACTCTATAAACCCCAAACCCTAAACCCCAAACCCTATAAACCCCAAACCCTAAACCCCAAACCCTAAACCCCAAACCCTAAACCCCAAACCCTAAACCCCAAACTCTATACCCCAAACCCCAAACCCCAAACCCTGAACCACAAACTCTATAAACGCCAAAACCCTAAACCCCAAACCCTAAACCCTAAACCCTAAACCCCAAACCCTAAACCCTAAACCCTAAACCCTAAACCCTAATCCCAGCTTTGCTTTAGACGCGCGAGGCAAGCCATGGCTGGGCTTGGAAGCCTCGGCGCTTCTGCTGACTTGGCGGCTGGGCGCAGCAGGGGGGGGAGGGGGGATTTTGAAAGGTTTTAGGGTTTAGGGTTTAGGGTTTAGGGTTTAGGGTTTAGGGTTTAGGGTTTAGGGTTTAAGCACCTTTTTGCTGTGTGTGTATGTGTGTCTTTGTTTTTGGGGGGAGGCGCGGGGTTCTAGTACATCAGCATAGCTACCCAGGTTGGTAGGATTCGAACGAGTGGGGGCAGAGTAGTTTGACTCCACCAAAAGGGCCCCTCAGCCCTAAGCCCGCTAAACCTGGGACATCTTGCATTCTCAGGATCATGTTTAGGAACATTGTTCAGAGGGCCCGTTGAAGTCCGAAGCCCTCCCCAAACCTCTCGACACTTGGTTCACCCTCCTCTCTCCACCCTAAACCCTAAACCCTAAGCCCTAAACCCTATATGAGAGTCCCAGGTCACGCGGAACGTGGGCAGCCCCAGTTTCCCGTTGGCGTCTGCTGAAGCAGTCCAGGGAATGCACCCTAAACCCTTTCTGCCCGATTTTGCGGAGTTTATTTTTAGGTAGGGCTGAGGGCATAAATGAAATCAACAAAAACAGGCCTTTTTAGGTATAGATATTCCAAGTAGCTTCTGGCAGTTGGCAGGGTGGGCGAGTGGGCGGGCGACGTTGCGGAGCGGGGGGTTATGCAAAACCTGAAAGCCCAGACACCCCCGCAACCCCCTGTAATTACCATGCCTTTGCAGCAGTAATTTGAAACTCCTGAACCTAAACCCTAAACCTTAACCCTTGTCTACAGATTACCAGGCCGACATCCCAAGGCCCTAGAGTTTCTCGACTCGAACTACCCATAAGCTCCATGCAGCCCTACACCCCAAACCCTCCCCCAAACCAAAAACCCCAAAAAACCCTAAACCCTCCATCACTTTGCCCCCTACTTGACGGTTCATGGGTACTCAGAAGTAGGGTTCTAGGTACCCTAATAAAGGTTAAAGCCATAGCTGCCCTTCTTATATCCCGACTTATCAGTACCCCATGAGCTCAACCCACCCTAAACCCTAAACCCTAAACCCAAAACCCTAAACCCTAAACCCTAAACCCTAAACCCTAAACCCTAAACCCTAAACCCTAAACCCTAAACCCTAAACCCGAAACCCGAACCCTAAAAACCCTAAACCCAAAACCCTAAACCCTAAACCCTAAACCCTAAACCCTAACCCTAACCCCTAAACCCTAAACCCTAACCCTAAACCTAAACCCTAAACCCTAACCCCTAACCTAACCCCTAACCCTAAACCCTAAACCTAAACCCTAGACCCCCTAACCCTAAACCCTAACCCTAAACCCCCCCCCCCCCCCCCCCCCCCCCAAATCGGATGAGGTCGTCCTGGCTGCGTTGGAGTTCTCCCAGAGATGGGCAGCAGTCCCAGGGTTTAGGGTTTAGGGTTTCGGGTTTAGGGTTAGGGTTTAGGGTTTAGAATCCTCTCGGCTTCTCTGAGGCTCGCACATGGTCTCCCTTGCTTCAAGGCCCTTGAATCCAGAGCCCCTTATTCCACCCTATGAAAATCAAGGGGGCCCATACTTCAGAACCCTTGAAAGAAGGTAAGGGACCATAGAAACTAGGACCGGGAGTAGGCATTCTTGTTTTTCCTTTTTTTAGGGTTGGGGTTCCCTTATATAATCCCCTCAAATCCAAAAAGGGCACCCTTTTTATTCCTAGGTTCCTCCCGGGTCTCGGAAAGGGACCATGTAAAGCTTGGGACCCGCAGTTTCCGTGGGTCTTGCTGGCGCTCCTCCTCAGAAGGGTCGGGAGTTCGGCTAAAGACACCGGAAGAAGGGGCTCAAGTCCTGAACACTAAGCTGCACCTAGACCCTAAACCCTAAGCCCTAAAGTCATGGCCGCGAGCGCGACCTAGTCGCGAAGCGAGACACACCACTGCAGAGGGTGAAGCCTCTGCAGCCTCTCCTCCCAGGCAAGGCCCCTCTAATGGGACGACTATAAAAAGGTCTACCCTGTAAACTTCAACCCCATTCCCGAAAGGAAATCTTAAATCTTAATTCCTCCCGGAAGCCTCCCAGTGCTGTTTGAACCCCCCCAACAAGCTCCTTTGAGAGCTTTTTCAAGCTGCTTGGGAGTATTTAGGGGACCCCTGTATTTTTCCATTTTCAAGACAATTTAGTATTGGGAGGCCCCCCTTGCTCAAAACTCCGACTCCCCCTTGAGAGGGATCAAAATCTATGTTCAGAGCCCACAAGGAGCTTCGGGAGCCTTTTGCGCTTCTCCCGGACCATTTCCGAGACATTTTGGGCTTCTCCCGAGCATTTCTGGGCCTTTTGGGCTTCCTGTTGGCTTCTCCCGGGCCATCTGAGCCTTTTAGGCTTCTCTCGGAACATTTCTGATGATTTCGAGTGCACAAGAAGGGCTTCCCAAAGTGACGTGTCCACCAGGAGGCCTCCCCGTTCCCACAGCATTTCGGAGCCCGCGACTTTCGGAAAGCTCTGTCCGGAGCCCACAAGGAGGATTCGGTCAAAAGTGGTCGATTCCCATGTAAATCACGTAAGGAATTCGAAGGCAGAAATGACCCCCTAATTTTCCTGATTTTTGGGTTTTCAAAGCCTTTTTGAAAGCGTTTTTCAACTCCCAGAAGCTCCAGAGCCTTTCAAGGCTCCCAAAGTTCCTGCCAGAGACCCTGCCCCTTGAAAGGAAAGCTTGCCTTCAAAAAGCTCTGTACAAAGCCCACGGATCAGGAGCGTGCATGTTGTCTCTCTTCTGAGAGGAAGCGGCGGCTTTGTTTTGCCCACAGATCAAGAGCGTGCATGTTGGTCTCTTCTGAGAGGAAGCGGCGGCTTTGTTTTGCAGGCGGCAGCCAGGTAGTCTCACGTAAAACCCGGGCCCTGCTCCGAGAGAAACAATCTGGTCCCACAATCTTGTATTTTGGCGGCAGCCACGTGGTTTCACGTGAAACCTGGACCCAGCTCTCTGCTCGGGTTGCTCCAACCGATGTTCTGCTATTCTGGCGGCAGCCAGGTAGTTTCACTCCGATCGTTGTCTCGCATAATCCGGACCGTGTATCCTCATCAATAACCTTGTGCTGTTATTCTGGCGGAGGCTTTTCCGGGGAAAGCTTGCCTCAGGCTTCTCCAAAGCCTTTTCTTCTTAAACATCTGCGCGCAAGTTAAGTTGCATCCTTCGGCTACAACTCAACTTCCGCGCGACGTGATTGTAATTCAGCGAAGGGGGTAAGAAAAAGAGAAAAAAAATCACACAACGAACGCCGGGAGGGGGGGCGGGCAACAAACAGCCGCGCGTCAGGCTTGACACACCCTAAACCCTGAACCCTAAACCCGAATCAATTTGACCCCAAGGTCCTGAACCCTAAGCCCAACACCCTTAACCCTTGAACCCCTTGCGTGGAGGTTCATGGGTACTGAGAGGCAGGGTTACAGGTAGGGTAACTACGGGTTACGTGCAACCCTCCTTCTATGGTTTCCCCATGGACCTTCAAGTAGACCCCAAACTCTAAACCCTAAACCCCAAGCCTAAACCCCACACCCCAAACCCGAAAGCCGAAACCCTAAGCCCTAAACCCTAAGCCCTAAACCCTAAACCCTAAACCCTAAACCCTAAACCCTAAACCCTAAACCCCAAACCCTACTCTCGGTACCCGCGAACCTTCCTTCATCCCCAAGGAGCTGGCCCTGGCCCTGGTGATGTCCATGGCGCAGGAGGGCTTTCAGCTGAGGGCTGAGGCTAGGGCTCTCCTCAGGAGATGTGGGTTTAGGGTTTAGGGTTTAGGGTTTAGGGTTTAGGGTTTAGGGTTTAGGGTTTAGGGTTTAGGGTTTAGGGTTTAGGGTTTAGGGTTTAGGGTTTAGGGTTTAGGGTTTAGGGTTCATCTACTTGCAGGTTCATGCGCTCTTCTACGCAGGGTTATGGCTGTCAACTTATCTCGGATACTCATATCCCCCGCTCACACGTACCCTTGAACCTTTAAGTATAGATCTATGGGCTCATGGGCCCTTATGTCAAGTCCCGTACCTTCAACTATATGAGGCTCTGAGGTAGGGCTTCTACTTCGGCTGTTGCTGAGTGTATGCACGCTTCCGTTACAATCTTGGTGAGTGTATAAATTCGGTGTCCTCTTGGGGATACTTGTATGATTACAAGGAATGTCCTGTAGAGGTTTTCAGTGAACCTCACCCCCCCCCCCCCCCCCCGGCCTTGTGTAACAGGGACTCCCGTCCCGTTACTAAACCCTAAACCCTAAACCCTAAGCCCTAAACCCTAAACCCTAAACCCTAAACCCTAAACCCTAAACCTAAACCTAAACCCCCCTTAACAGCTGGGCTTCGGTTCGCGGGGCTCTTCACCTGCGCAGGGCCCAAGCCTTCGGCTAGCTGATTGGACCATGGCTGTCGTTTTCATCTTCTCCTGGACCTCTCTAAGCCCTAAACCCTAAACCCCAATCCCAAACCCAAACCCGAAACCCCAAACCCTAACCCTAAACCCTTGTAACTCTGAAACCCTTAACCTTGAACCCTAAACCGCCCCAGGCCGGACATTTTCAGCTTCAACAGCCTCCTGAGCACCTGCGAGAAGGCCGAATGGGGATCTGTTTAGGGTTTAGGGTTAGGGTTTAGGGTTTAGGGTTTAGGGTTTAGGGTTTAGGGTTTAGGGTTTAGGGTTTAGGGTTTAGGGTTTAGGGTTTCGCGTTTCGGGGTGGATCCGGCAACCCCAACCCAGAATCCCCAGAACCCCTTAGTAGCCCCCAAAGTGCATCGAACTACCCAACTTGGAGGTTCAGGGTAGTTCTCACCCCAACTACAACTGTACTCATACAAGCCCCCGAAATCCCCCCCAAGTTGTCAGTGGACTTGGAACCGGGGTTAAGCCCTAAACCCTAAGCCCTAAACCCTAAACCCTAAACCCTTAATCCTAAACCCTAAACCCTAAACCGCTACAAGTACCACCTCCAAGAAAGGCCACACAATGGGAGCGTGCCCTGATGCTGCTGTCTCGCATGCTCGATCTTCTCGTTCCGGCCCCCGGTCGCGATGTCTAAGGCTTCAGGGTTCAGGGTTAAGGGTAGTTCAGGGGTTTAGGGTGTAGGGTTTAGGGTTTAGGGTTTAGGGTTTCCGGTTTAGGGCTAGGGTTCAGGGCTTGTGTTCCAAGGATGGGCTCTTCAGTTCTCCGAGAAAAACGCACATTGAAACGGGCAACCTGGAAGATGTGGTCATACTTTGAGCCTAACTCATATGGGAGGTTCTCTAAAGTCAGGGCCTTTTTTTGGAGATCCCATGAAATTGTGGAGCCTTGCATAGTTATGTAGGGCACCCCCAGAATTTAGAGTCCCTCACCACCCTGAATGTTAAAAAAATAGTCCAAGATGGCCCGGAAAGGCTGTCTCTGAGAGCGCCTTCAGCTGAAAGACTGCAATTCTTTCGCTCTTTAGTCTTGTTCCCTGACTTCTCTACATTGGGACGGCACAGCCAAGCTGCCCACGTTGCAGCGTTATCCGATGGATCTACTGAGACTCAGTTTACCGGTAGCTATACAGGTGATACCAGCTAATCAATGGTATTCACCATGAATTTTGTTGAGAATGCATTGCAGGTTGACTGTCCCATGACGTTGGAGCAACCTCTCGGAAAGTTTCCGGCAGTACTCAGGTAGTGCCGGATGACATCAGCCGCAATGTGGCAATTGCCAGCTGAGACTTGACTGAACGGGTTCCGAAAGGATGCAAAGCAGCCTGTGTGTTAAGCGTAAGATTCTTAGCTCAGGCTACAAATTGCCTGGCTCAATGGTATTATAGTAGCAGAACCATGTAAGAATATGACTGCTCCAGAATATATTTGCATGACAATCTTGTAATCTACTAGCATGCGAATATCGGAACGTGCCAATAGAGTAAATATAGTAGTGTAGCAGTATCATGCTTGCAACCCATGCCTTCTGCACTAGTCATGTGGGGTTTCCGAAATTAGGAGTACCTTACTGGGGTCCATATTATAAGGGACCCTAAACCCTAAACCCTAAACCCCCCCCCCCCATGTAAGAATAATGAAGCAGAAAAAACAAAAGGTTTAGGGTTTAGGGTTTAGGGCTTAGGATTTAGGGTTGAGGGTTGAGGGTTTGGGTTTAGGGTTTACGGTTTAGAAAAAAGGAGCCCTCAGCCTGGTTCTAAGCCCTAAGCCCTCACCCGGCTCAACATCCCCGATCCTGGGCAACGTCGCGAGTGTCTCAGCAATATCAACAACCTCCCAGAAGTCTACTGGGTCCTTGTTGGCAATGATTTTACATTTTGTCCTATTAAACTCCCAGCAAGGAATGAAAATGATAACTTTTAACATGACCCCAACAAGGAAGCAGCCTTATAGACCTTGAGCTCCATTGCTTGGAGGTTCATGGGTACTCAACAGTTTGGTTACAAGTGGGCAATAAGGGTGACTTTGTTATTCCTATTTAATCTCGGGTCCCGTAGTATCCCTACTTATCAGCACCCATTCATGAACCTTCAAGTACGCCGTCAAGCATCTGCTGGGTCGGGGTTTCCCTAAACCCTAAACCCTAAACCCTAAACCCTAAACCCTAAACCCGAAGCCCCCTAGCCCCAATAAGTCCTTGAGGCCAGCGCGGTGGGTCCTGGCGCGAAGCGACCTCAAGGGGCTCGGGTTGACTTCCGTAGACCTTGGGGTTCAGGGTTTAGGGTTTAGGGTTTAGGGTTTAGGGTTTAGGGTTTAGGGTTTAGGGTTTAGGGTTTAGGGTTTAGGGTTGGATGGACCATGGGGGAACGAAGGGGTTTGGGGAACCTACTTAGACATGCTTACTTTAGGCTCAAGGGTTGTAAAGGCGGTATAAGTAGCTAGCTAACCCACAGGGTAGTTATATGGGCGTTCTTGGGTTGTGATAGGGTCTATAAGGGATATAAAGGGGTTCTCTTCGAAGGGCCCCATGCTAAGGGCCCCATGCAACTACCCTAGGACTCAGGAGCCATCCGTGTCAGGGCTTCTCTTCTCGAAGGGCCCTCAAGCTTGGAAGCCCTCCTGTCCCTGCGATGGCTTGAGACTGAAACTCAAAACCCTAAACCCTGGACCCTGAACCCTAAACCCCTAAACCCTAAACACAGGTCCACCCGGAAGCCCAAAACCCGAACCCTAAATCCTAAGCGCTTACACCCTAAACCCCATCATGTGGTAGGACGTCCTTTCGTCATCGTAGCCGTCGCTTCGTAGCCGGCACCCAACCCCTAAACCCTAAAGGCGAGCCCCAAACCCCTCAACCCTTGAGATCTACATTTCGAGAAGCCCCTCTTTCCTCCCCCCCCCCCCCCCCGGTAGGTTAATCTGGCTGGTTCTTAGTAGGGAATGAGGGGATGAGGGCCCTTTATATACGCTTTAGGGGATTATGTAGGGCCCTCATTGCCTCATTCCCTGCTAAGAACCAGGGGGTAATGTTCCCCTGCAACTCTGAGCTGGCAAGAGCGCCGTAGCTAAAGCATGGGGGGGGGGGGGGGGGTGGGGGATGCTGGAGCTTGGGTGTAGGGAGTGTAGGGTTTAGGGTTGAGGGTTTAGGGTTTAGTAAATTTAGGGTTAAGGGATTTGGCTTGCCTCACGACCCCTCCAACAAGAAGCGGGACGACAGAGATTCCCACATGCCGACAAACCCTAAACCCCAAATCCTAAACCCTGACCCCCCAAACCCTAAACCCCAAACCCTCAAACCCCAAAAACCCTAAACCCCAAACCCCAAACCCCAAACCCTAAACCCCAAACCCTAAACCGCCGAGGCTGTGGTCGAGCTGCTCCCAGATGGCTTCGAAGGCACCAGGCCAGAAGAGCCAACTTTCCTAGGACCGAAACCACGAAACCCGAAACCCTAAGCCCTAAACCCCAAACCCCAAACCCCAAACCCCAAACCCTAAACCCTAAACCCTAAACCCCAAGCTCTAAACCCTAAGCCCCAGACCCCAGCCAAAAAGTTGGAAGGATCATCTGCTGTGGCCAAAGAACATGGTGCGTGTTGCATTGAGCCCACCGAAACCTGAAACCCGAAACCCGAAACCCGAAACCCTAAACCCTAAACCCCGCATCCACAGAACCCATCTCTTCCGGAAAGCCTGCAAGGCCTTCCTTTGGAGGACTTCGCGTCTTGGACTGCCTTGAACCTGCCTTGGGTTTCGGGTTTAGGGTTTAGGGTTTAGGGTTTAGGGTTTAGGGTTTAGGGTTTAGGGTTTAGGGTTTAGGGTTCCGGGTTTAGGGTTTAGGGTTTAGGGTTTAGGGTTTAGGGCATAGGGTTTAGGGTTTGGGGTTTAGGGTTTATCTGTGGTGCGGCGTGGGCTCGAAACCCCTGAAGCCCCCCAAAATCCGCAAAGCCCCAAGGCCCCTAAGCCCGAGTTTGAAAGGGAGGTGAGGGTTTAGGGCTTCGGGTTTTGGGATTTAGGGTTTGGAGGGTTTGAGGGGTTTAATTAGGGGTTTCGGGGTTTAGGGCTTAGGGGTTTACGGGGCCCCAAACTCCAAAGCCCCCAAAATCCGAAACCCCCCCAAACCCCCGAACCCAAAAACATCCAAGCCCTAAGCCCCCAACTCCAATGCCCCTACTGCAAATCCGAATCCCCCCCCCCCCCCCCCCCTCAAAAAATCCCCTCGAACCTTCCCCCCAAAAGGGAAGCTGCGAGGCCCCAAACCCTAAACCCTAAACCCTAAACCCTAAAACCCTAAACCCTAAACCTAAACCCTAAACCCTAAACCCTAAACCCTAAACCCTAAACCCTAAACCCTAAACCCTAAACCCTAAACCCTAAACCCTAAACCCTAAACCCTAAACCCTAAACCCTAAACTCTAAACCCTAAACCCTAAACCCTAAACCCTAAACCCTAAACCCTAAACCCTAAACCCTAAACCCTAACCCTAAGCCCTAAGCCCTAAACCCTAAACGCTAAACCCCTGTCGCCCCAAACTCGAGGCTCTCTGGATGCCCTGGGCTGCGCCTCGGCCGTGGCGTCTGCTGAGGAGACGCTGCGCTGGCAGCCGGCCGAGGCTCTCCGACGTTTAGGGTTTAGGGTTTAGGGTTTAGGGTTTAGGGTTTAGGGTTTAGGGTTTAGGGTTTAGGGTTTAGGGTTTAGGGTTTAGGGTTTGGGGTTTAGGGTTTAGGGTTAGGGTGTAGGGTTCAGGGTTCAGGGTTTAGGGTTTAGGGTTTAGGGTTTAGGGTTTAGGGAGTGGCTTCCAGGGCGCCACTAAGGCAGCGTTTTTTTTTTTTTGAGGGTTTTAGGGTTTGAGGGTTTTAGACTATTTAGGCAAAGAGGTTTGAGGGTTTTTGAGGGTTTTAGGGGTCTTGGGGATTTTAGGGTTGAGGGTTTGAGGTTTTTTTGGGTTTGCGGTTTTGGGTTTTAGCGTTTTAGGGCTTAGGGTTTAGGGGTCTCCGGCCTGTCGGGGGTTTAGGGCCAGCATCTTAAGGTTAACTTGGGAGGGGGGGAGGTCTAGGTAACCCGAACTTACCAAACAGAGTGGGGAATCTAAGAATAAGACTTTGGGCTGCAGGGGATGCAGGGCAACCGTTCAAGCCCCAGAAGCAACGGGTTTAGGGTTTAGGGTTTAGGGTTTAGGGTTTAGGGTTTAGGGTTTAGGGTTTAGGGTTTAGGGTTCAAGGCTTGGGCTTCCGGGGTTTAGGCCTCTAGGAGGGTTCCCTGAACCCTGAGCCCCAGACCCGAAATCACGTTCTAGGGGTTTGGGGTCTTTTTGAAGGGCTTTAAGAGCATTTCGTCGCTGATGGCGATGTGGGGAGGATTTCAAGCCGAAGACGAAGTCAAACCTTAGTCCCAAGACCCCCAATGCAGACCTAAGCCCTGAAGCCCTGAGCCCTATGAGCCCTCAACCCTAGAACCCTAAACACATGAACCCATGAAAGCACGGTCACAAAACCCTTGAGAAAACCCAAAGCCCCAAGACCAAAAGAGCCCTAAACCCTAAAACCCTATGAGCCCGAAACACTACACCCTAAAGCCCGAAAACCCTGAAACCCTGAAACCCTAAACCCCCTAAACCCCCTAAAACCCCTAAACCTCAGACCGCAAGCCCTAAACCCTAAACCCTATACCCTCTACCCTAGACCCTAAACCCTAAACCCTAAACCCCCTATCTTCAGCCCCAATCCCTCAATGCCCAGGCCGCCTACGCAGCGGCCGGGACCTTGGCCCGACGCTGGGCGCATGCCGCCGGCGAGGAGCCGGGCCCTTAGGGTTTCGGGTTTAGGGTTTGGGGTTTAGGGCCTGGGGTTTAGCGGTTTGGGGCTTAGGGTTTAGGGTTTGGAGTTTAGGGTTTAGGGTTTGGGGTTTAGGGTTTAGGGTTTGAGGTTCGGGGTTTTGGGCTTGGGGTTTATCATGTTTGCGGTTTTGGGTTTAGGGTTTGGGGTGTCAGGGTTTAGGGTTTGAGGTTTAGGGTTTGGGGTTTTGGGGTTTAGGGTTTGGGGTTTTAGGGTTTGGGGTTTAGGGTGCTTGAGTTCAGGGTTCGGGGTTATGGTTTAGAGTTTAGGGTTTAGGGTGTTTGAGTTTAGGGTTAAGGTTCTAGGGCGTTAGGGTGTTAGCTCTTAGGGTTTAGGGTTTAGGGTGCAGGGTGTTAGGGTTTGGGGTGTTAGGGTTGGGGGTGTTTGGGTGTTAGGGTGTAGGGTGTCAAGTTTTTAGGGTTTAGGGTCTAGCCCTTTGGGTCAGCCTCCAAATGCGTTGTCTAGCGTTTCGGGTGTAGGGCTTTCGGGTTTTAGGGGCTTTCGGGGAAATCAGGCAGGGTTATCGGGGTTTAGGGCCTAGGGAAAGATTAAAGTCTAAGGTTCTGGGGGTTCTGGGGAAACATGGCGAGACCTAAACCGAAAGGTCCCTCAAGAGTCCCCAATCTTATGTCTAATTACCCGAAGTGCCAATTTGGGAAAGTTGGCGTTTAGGATCTAGTTCAAGAGTCTTGGAGAAACTAAAGGAAGCACTTTTTGTGGCAGATGATGGGATTTAGGGGTTCCAACCCTAAACCCTAAATCCTAAACCCTAAACCCTAAACCCTAAACCCTAAAACCCGGGGTTAGGATGATTAAGCTAGGCCTGCACCTTAAACGCTTTCCGAGGCTCTCTTGCCTCCTCCGTGGCCGGGACCGGGCTCACTCTTGCGGTTTTTCGGGTTTAGGGTTTAGGGTTTAGGGTTTAGGGTTTAGGGTTTAGGGTTTAGGGTTTAGGGTTTAGGGTTTAGGGTTTAGGGGTCTTGTTTCCTTAGGAATTCTGTGAGAGAATCGTCAAAACGCTCTTGCAGGATGGTTCAAAGAGGGTTCACAGAGCAAGGCATTCTCTTCTGCCCGTATGACGAGCACCCCTGTCCCACTATTTTTATGCAATCGCCCTGTGCCCCTATTTTGAAGAGATGCTATCAAGGACATTGCTTGGGAGCCCCTGCGCCAGAGACCAAAACGACCCCACAACGCCAAAACCCAAAACCCCAAAACCCCACCAAAGCCCCAAAGCCACAAACCCCCCAAAAACCAAACCCCAACCCCCCCCAAACCCCCAAACCCTCAACCCTAAACCTGCGCGCCCCTACACCCTCAAAGCCTCAGAAGAAGCTGGGCGAGTCCGAAATCCTAAACCCTAAACCCTAACACCCTTCAGAAAAGCAAACCGAGTCCATGAGAGTAGGAGCCCTGGGTGCTTGTCGGGGCGCTGGCCGGTCTGCTAAGGGCGAGGGATTGTCGGGGCCTCGAGGAGGGTTGAGGGTTCAGGGTTTAGGGTTCAGGGCTTTAGGTTTAGAGTTCTGGGTTTAGGGTTTTGGGTTCAAGGTTTAGGCCTTCGGGTTAGGGGGGAGGTTTCACAAAGACTTCTGTGATAAGAAGGTTTAGGTTACAGGCTTTAGGGCTTTTACGTCAGGACTATGATCTCTAGAGCCTCTGCAAGCCAAGTAATCCCCCCTAGAGCCTAGACCCTAGACCCTAAACCTTAAACCCTAAACCTAGATGCCAAACCCTAAGCACTACAACCTACATCCTCTAAATACGACAAAGTCGGGTTAGAAGTACGGCTGAGGTTTATGGTAAGAAATCGGCTTTTGGAAGCGAGGGTCAGAAATTTCTTAATCGCAGAAGTCGGAAGAAGAAATCTCGTTGTTGGGCGAGGGTCTCAGAAAAAACTTTCTACTTGGGCTGATATTGGGGTTGGGGAGCGGCAGCAAAACCCTACGGTGACTGCTTTTATTTGCCCTGGCATTGTCGTAGATTTTTGCCTCCACATGCTTTTCAGGGCCGTGGGAAAGCCAGAAAAACCTAGGACAATGTCCTAGGTTGTTTTGCTTTGGTCATATATACTCCGACGACGAGGGTTCACTCAAATCTAAAAAACAAATTTCAGGATTGTTTGAATGTTGAATGGTGAAGGTATAAAGCATGTGGCCACTTTAACCCACGCAAATGTGGCAGAGAGACCTTAGTTCGCAGTTTAAAGAGAATGATGAAGGCATTTACCGCTCCTGCAAACAGCAGTCTTAGTATCCTTACAATTGTTCCTCAAGGCCAGGTAATCCACACTCTAGTTTGCTCTCTTGATAATGGGTGACAGGAACAGAAGATAAGATAAGTACAGATGCACCCTTAAGGGCCACAATGGTTATGTTATCTTCAGGATTATTGATTCACTTGTAACTGCTCCTGAATCTAATACTCTATTCAAAGTGCTGTTTTTAAATGTGCAGAGGAGTTCATGTGAGTACTAAGGATACAAAATCACAAAAAAACACAGTGAACGAAGCGGCCGAGAGAATGCGCGTGATGTCCAAAAGCCCGTTGATGATCAAGAACTTACCCGTCAAGATACTAAACCCTACGTCTAGCTTAAGCTTGCTGAGGTGGCTGGACAGGTGGGTTTGACCGGGCCTTCAAACAGCGAGCCCGGGAACCTGGTTGCGCAGGGTTTCGGGTTTAGAGGGCTTCTGGAGTCTAGGAACATGATTTCGGCTGAACTCACACACTTGTGCACCCAAGAGGAGGTTGGCTTGTGCATTTGAGGCCTGAAAAAAACCCGTATAAACGCTTTGCCCAGTCCCTGCAAGCCGTGAAAGCCCAATAGGTGTGGAGAGGCATCAGTGCTCCGGTGCACCTTGTGCAGTGAGCAACAACTATAACCTTGCCGTTCTCAAGAACATCGACCCTTGTTTGCCATGACCCGTTGCAAGTACGTACATCCTTGCCCATCAACGCTCTGGTCCAGGGTTGAGCGCTTTATTGGGAGGATTTAGCGTTCAACATTCATTTTAACTGTTAGAGATTTAGTCTTGCGGTGTGCAAATTCCAAGTGGCATCTTGAATGGGGTGCACTGGCGCTTCGTGTAACAGAGGAGCTAGGGTTAAAGGAGGGTTTAACTAGTCGTGGCGTTACAGGAAACCCCAAAGCCCGACCTGCTCGAGATCCTCGGCAAGGAGCCCCGAACCCTAACCATGAAGGAGCAACAACGTGAACCCTATGTCCGTAAGAAGCAGGCCCAATGACAATGACGCTTCAGCCTTCAACCCTCAGCCCTAAAACTCCTAAAACCCTAAACTCAAAAGACCTAAACCCTAAAGGCCCTAAACGCTCAAGGCCCTAAACCCTAAAGGCCCTAAACCCTCAACCACAGACTTGCAAGCCCGTTCGAATGATCCTGGTGGTCGTTACAAGGTTCACGGCCCGGTCATGGGGGAGTTGCGCTGTGGAGGCTGCCGACGAGGGCTTAGAGGGGTGTAGAGGGGTTTCGAGGGATTCGGAGGGGTGTGGAGGGGTTTATGGGGTTTAGAGGGTGTAGAGGGTTTATAGGGGTTTGTAGGACTTTTCGGGTTTCTAGGGTTTGTAGGGGTTCAAGGGTGTAGGGTTTTAAGGGTTTCCTAAGGGTTTAGGGGGGGGCTTAGTTCAGAGGTTTATAGGGGAAAATAGGGCTTGAGGGGTTTACGGGGTTTACGGGGCTTACGGTTGTTTTGTCGGGCTTGCGGGTGTGGGATTTAGCGGCTAAATTAGGGCATAAATGTCTATGCAAAGCGAATATGACACGTCAGCTCTCGAAACCGGAGCCCTTGACGTGCACTAGCAAAAGATGCGTGGAGCTGCATAGGGACCCTAAGCATTCGGACACCTTCTTTGCCAAAGGTGCCTTGGCAGAAGTGACCACAAACTAGAGACCTGACCCTAAACCCTAAACCCTAAACCCTAAACCCTTGGTGCATCTGCAAGTGGGGCCTGGTTTTTTGGTCCGGTTTTGGTGTCAAGAGATCGAGCCACCTATCTGCTTCAGAGCCCTAAAAAGCTAAAACCATTTTCCTTACAAAGATTTACTTTGTCATAGTTGGGCAACATTTTACATTTTTAAGGGTACTTAAATCCTAAACCCTAAACCCTACACCCTAAACCCTAAACCCTAAACCCTAAACCCTCTTATCATGAACCTTCCAGCGCTCCGGAGGTCTGCCCAGCAGACCTCTTGCGGCGACTGCCGGCCTGGCAGGGCCCATGTCGGCGGACTGCCTCGAAGGCAACTTCTGGTTGAGGGTTTTTTGGGGGGTTTAGGGTTTAGGGTTTAGGGTTTAGGGTTTAGGGTTTAGGGTTTAGGGTTTAGGGTTTAGGGTTTAGGGTTTAGGGTTTAGGTTTACGGTTCAGGGTTTAGGGTTTCGGGTTTAGGGTTTAGTGCTCAGGATTTAGGGTTTCGGGCTTAGGGCTGAGGGCTTGAGAGCTGTGGCTCTGCGGGCCCACCAAGCCTACGTACGACATTAACCTCCCAAACCCTAACTCTAAATAACCATAAGCTCTAAATAACCCTAAGTTTTAAATAGTCCTAAGTTCTAAATAGCCCTAAATTCTAAATAGCCCTAAACAAACTGAACGGCTGAATCACAAGAGGGCCCTCCACCCTCTGGAGCTCTCGACTCTCCACTCTAGACCGAGATGTCGTGAACAACCGTCATCAGTTCGTAGATCATGGTTACAGTATAGCACCTGTGATTAAAGTAATGCAGCATCTTGTATATGCTACCATAAAAAACCCTCGTATCTGTTCAGAATAGAGTGTAGGGTTTAGGGTTTAGGGTTTAGGGTTTAGGGTTTAGGGTTTAGGGTTTATCTCGAGACGCTCGCGATGCGCGCCCGCAGCCGGGCTCAAGGAATGAGACGATCAGGCATGACACTGCTCTTAGCACTCCCAGCCACCCCCAGCCACCGAAGGGAGCACGGTTTAGGGTTTAGGGTTTAGGGTTTAGGGTTTAGGGTTTAGGGTTTAGGGTTTAGGGTTTAGGGTTTAGGGAGCAGCCTTGAGTTGACTTGACGAGCTGTGTGATTCTTTCAGTGGACAATGTCAGGCGGGGGCTTTCTTCCCTACTTTCAGAGTCTGAGTAGGAGGTTTGCATACACCCCCCGGTTTGAAGCATCCGCCCCTTGGAGTTCCAGAAAGCATCCAGCTGTGGACTCAACTTGCCATGGTGAGGGCCAGGAGTCGCCAAAGCCCAACCCCTCCCCCCCCGCCCCCCCTTCCCTCAGAACTAGGTAGGCCCCTCGGGATCTTTTTCGGGAATACTCTTTCGGGGGTATTAAGGGCCATCCTAAACGAAACACCGGAACTCTTGAGCTTAAGGCCCCCTATCTTTTAAAACAGCTTCTGACTCACAAATGTGGGTTTAGGGTGCAGGGAATATGGTTTGAGGGTCCTGAAAACCTACTTTCAAGTACCCAAGAGCCTTCAAGCAGGGATTGGGAATTTTAGGGTTTAGGGTTTAGGGTTAGGGTTTAGGGTTTAGGGTTTAGGGTTTAGGGTTTAGGGTTTAGGGTTTAGGGTTTAGGGTTTAGGGTTTAGGGTTCAGGGTTTAGGGTTTAGGGTTTAGGGCTACCCGCAGCCTTGCCTTCCTTTTGCCACTATCTGGGGTTACCTGATCATCGCAGCGACCCTAAAGCCCAAACTTCTAACCCTAAACCCTAAACCCTAAACCCTAAACCCTAAACCCTAAACCCTAAACCCTAAACCCTAAACCCTAAACCCTAAACCCTAAACCCTAAACCATAAACACTAAACCCTAAACCCTAAACCCTAAACCCTAAACCCTAAACCCTAAACCCTAAACCCTAAACCCTAAACCCTAAACCCTAAACCCCAAACTAAACCCCAAACCCCCGCAGTAGATGTTTCCCTTTCACCGTTGTGCCCCAATTCTCACAGTCTATTTTGTGCAACCTTGAGGACACCTTGTTGAAATATTCCTAAACCCTGCAGGCCTAAACCCTAAATCCTAAACCCTAAGCCCTAAACCCTGCGCCCTATAAACGGGGGTACCCAAATTTGAGAAAACCCGCTCACTAAAACCTAAAATCTAAACCCTGAACCCTGAACCCTGAACCCTAAACTCCGTTGAGGCTTCCCAAGCCTCCTCCTCCCCTCACGGAAGACCCGGCTCCTTGAGCTGGTCTGATGTATTTAGGGTGTAGGGTGTACGGTTTAGGGTTAGGGTGTAGGGTTTAGGGTTTAGGTTTAGGGTTTAGGGTTTAGCGTTTAGGGTTTCGGGTTTAGGGTTTAGGGTTTAGGGTTAGGGCTTACCAGTACCCTTCTTACCTCGTTGAGTTTTAGGATCCCTTATTATCAGGGTTTGGGGCTTAGGGTTTACTGGTACCCATACTACCTCGTTTAGGCTCAGGATCCCTTACAATCCAGCCTAAACCCTAAACCCTAAACCCTAAACCCTAAACCCTAAACCCTAAACCCTAAACCCTAAACCCTAAACCCTAAACCCTAAACCCTAACTATAGCATCTACGACGTGTGCGTGTAGGATGCAGGGTTGCAGCAGGGAAGGCGAGCATCCTGGCAGGCGTCAAATCCGCACCAATCCTTTAAGGCATGCAGAAGGGCGAAGCACTATTTGGAGGCTCATTGCTTATAAGTGGGTTCTAAGTCATAAGTAGGGTCGCCATGACTGTAGCCGTATTTGAAGGTACTTATACCCCCAAATATAAGTACCCAGCAACCTTCAAGTATTGCTGACCTTTCCACTTCATGTAGCACTTCTTTCCCTACCACTTGCTTCTGCTCCTCCGTCTGCTGTTATATGCGAGATCCTCTAAAACCTTGGCCTCTACCCCTTGTATGGTCCCACGTATTTCAATAGGACCACCAAACGTGGGCAGAATCTGCAGAAGCCCTCATGCCTGGTTTGACTAACATGCTAAGGCCGACAGACCTGAGAACTTTCTCGCACCCTCCAGGCGCCCCCCGCCCCCTTGCGACACCTTGTAGATATTCTCGCAACCGGGGCTATGTTGGAGGGGGCATCTTTTCTAGCAAACCCTACACCCTAAACCCTAAACCCCAAGCCCTAAGCCCTAAACCCCAAGCCCTAAGCCCTAAGCCCTAAGCCCTAAGCCCTAAGCCCTAAGCCCTAAGCCCTAAGCCCTCAACCCAAATGCCTGTCGTGAAGGAGCGGCGGTGCGCTCGCGATTGCCCTGACGGTGGCTTTGTGCCACTTGGCTCAGCCGACGAAGTCTTTGGAGAGAATGTGCTTTGAGGCAGCTTGAGGGTGTAGGGTTTAGAGTTTAGGGTTTAGGGTTTAGGGTTCAGGGTTTAGGGTTTAGGGTTTAGGGTTTAGGCTTCTATGCCCAAGATTACTGCAACCCCAAACCACAACCCTAGACCCGAAACCCGAAGTCCCCCCTTGCAAGCCTATCCCGTCAAAGTATCCTCCCCCTCGCAACCTTCGGTATCCCCACCCGTGGAGCTGTAGTTCGTGAGAGACGTTTGAAAAAAGGGGGGGGTTCTTGCTTTGAGATGTGCTTGCATCCCTAAACCCTAAACCCTGAACCCTAAACCCTAAACCCTTAACCCTAAACCCTAAACCCTAAACCCTAAACGGATCCTCGGGTTAGGAAGGAGTTTGGGGTTTTAGTAGGTACGTAAGATGAACCCTTGGGGTGCCACCTGCTTGTAAGGGGTTGGTGTAACGGGTTTAGGGTAGGGTTTAGGGTTTAGGGTTTAGGGTTTAGGGTTTAGGGTTTAGGGTTTAGGGTTTAGGGTTTAGGGTTAGCTACTAGGGGGTTGAGCCCGCAGGGTTCCTTTACAGCAGCCCGCGCCCCCCTTACCCCTCAAAAACTCGGTGGTCCTGATTCTTCGTGGTATACAAGCCCCAAACCCTAAGCCCTAAACCCCCCTAAAACCCTAAACCGTGCGAACTCCTAGACCATCCTAAACCCTAGAACCTAAACCATCCTACATCCTAAACCCTAAACCCGCACACCGCTGAACCCCCCAAAACCATCCCCAACTTAGTAGCTGAGTGCGCACACTACACTTTTTGGGATACTATTCTCCCCTATAGAACTGAAAGTGTACATTTTCTTGGGGGGGCTTATGAACTCAGCAGCTAAGATAAATCCTCGACCCAACATGAAATCCGTCGCATAATCAGGCTTTGGCTTCGAGCAGCTGCTCTACGTCTTGGCAGGACTGCACGGTTTAGGGTTTAGGGTTTTGGGTTTTGGGGTTTAGGGTTTAGGGTTTAGGGTTTAGAGTTTAGGGTTTAGGGTTTAGGGTTGTTTAGGGTTACCAATTAGCACGAGCCATTCATCACCTCCCCGTACTTGGAGGTTCATGGCACTTATTAGCCAGTCATAGCTGTACTTCTAACTGTACTTATAGGGTTTAGGGTTTGGGGTTTAGGATAACTGCACCTAAAACTGTACTTATAGCCATTTTAGGGCACTTAAGGGGCTTATAAGTGGGTGATAAGTACAGCTATAATTTGATTATTAAGTACAATGAACCTCCTCGTAGGGGTCCATGTACCTCATTGTTGTATGCTTGGGCTCTACAGTCCCTACATAGGAGGAGGCCCAAGTACTCCTTATTTAGGTAGATGGACCGTTAGAGTCCAAACAAGGGTGCTAGGTTCTCACAACGTTTCCTCGGTAGGATCGCTATCGGGTTTTAAGTTCAGCCTTGCAGCAATCCCATGAGGTGGGTTAAAGGGGTTTAGGGTTTAGGGTTTCGCGCTTAGGTTCCTGTACATTGTTTTAAACAATAGCCCTGAGCTGAAGACAGGGTATTCTAGGTGCGGGAGTCGGGAATGAGCGCTCAGCTTGACAGCTCTGGCCAAGGGGGCTTTAGGCTTCAGGGATGGAGGGTTCCAGGGTCTGTTGTTTTAGGGTTTAGGGTTTGGGGCTTAGGGTTTAGTAGGGTCCAGGGGTTTAGGGTTTAGGGTTTAGGGTTTAGGGTTAGGCTTGAGACGCAATACGAAGCTCATAGGAGTCAATTAACCTTTGAAAGACAAAATCTGCCGGGCAGTCTGCGGACTTCCTTCTGCTCCGAAGCCGTGCCATGATCCGCTAGAGGTTGCGGGTTTAAGGGTTTGAGGTGTTGCCTTCGTCCTCCGGCCAACGCAAAACTGGCCCTGCACCCAAAACAACGCTAGGAGTTAGTTGCAAGCAGGGATATATAAGTACCTCAAATAAGGTTCTACTCTTAGTTACCATACTTATATCCCTAGTCTAAGTACCCATGAAC